ATGCCGCAGATGAACCAACTATCCTGAGTATAAGCACAAACTTGGCCCAATGTTGTATACTCAAACTTGCACAAAGTATGCGCTTATGATGCCAGCAGTTTTACGGATAAGTCGAAAAATTACCAGAACGAGATTTGCTTGTATTCTGCACCTGCTGATCCATCTAAATGGACTAGAGAGCAATTAAGCAGTCGTACTACTCTTTACTGCTTTCACCTACATTTCCATCATCAGTATTGACTTGCGCCGTTCTTGAGTGTGCTTGTAGTTGCAAGAAAATGCCCGCTCGGAAGTTCCCACTGAGAATTGGCACACATATGCTACAGAGAAAGAGGGAGTACTGCGGCTAGAGACCTGTAGTTCAGGATCAAAAGGCCTGGTGCAGTTGTGCTAGACTTTTGAGTGCATCCTAGGAATGTCAGCGGCACCGAATCCTCATAGTACGGTCTTAGCGATAAATTAGTACTGCGTGCTAATAACATCCGTAGACATGTAAGACCTGCGCAGAGTGTTTTTACAATAATCTTTTGCTGCAAACTGTATAAAATAATGACAAAGAACTGAGAAAAATAAAATGCACTAGGACAAAGTCTAAAGAAATCGAGTATCCATGATCTGTAACTCGCAAAAACAGCAAGAAAGTGCTGTACTACACTGGATACATAAAGGCCCCGTATAAAAAGCAATGAAATGAAGCACTAAATTTCGGAATAGCAAAAGCCGACAGACGGTACTGCACTTGACCAGCGGAAGCCATATGTACAGTCAGCAAAGAGCGCAAGATAAAAGTAGATATTTGTCACTGGGCAGCGACCGAAAAGCTACTGCCCATGAGAACCCAACTCCCCGTCACTACCAGTCAATCCCCACAACACTATCGATAGTACATCCATCATTCGACAAAAAGCACCTCGTTCATGTACTGCCAGAAACTCTGTAATGACAACTGCTTGAATGTGTTTTTTTTTTAGTAATTTTAATGTTCATTTCACTGCCTTCGGGTCGATCTTAAACCCACAGTTCCCAGTTGATTTCCACGTTCCCTCAACTAAATTTACATCCTTTGGTCGACTTTTGCAGTCGACTTTTGCAGAACAGCACTCAATTTTACGAACTCCTTTACTCCCATAAAGCGATTCCAGTGCCACCTTCAAATTGGGCGCTACCTCTCTCTATTCTCTGAGCATAAGCTACTGGCACCCAGAGCCCCCTGTTCAAGCCCACTGCAAAGCATTTTACAAAAAATAACACACAAATGTCTATAAGCTTAGTCGCATATATATACATGTATATCACAAAACGAAGCGATGAGAAAGACGAGAAAGCACTGAAGGAAAGCGTAAATGCTTAGTCAGCAAAAAAATCAGCAACGGACGCCCGACAGCGTTTTCCTTCCTGTAAGCCGTTTGGGCTGCTTGCAGTAACTCGCTAATCAACATGTGTGAAGTACCCCAATGTATTGTTGTTTTGTGCCTAAGGTTGCGAAACTGAGCCAACTCACTGTTTTAGCTTCGCTGTTATTAGTAATGCACGCATTAATAGCCGTATCTGAACACTGCCATGTCAAATATGTTGACAAGCCCATGATATTAGTTTAATAGGAATGTCTCAGTTCGGACTACTCGATGCTATTAGCACATAACTTTCCGCGCAGATCCGTTTATGGACTATCGGACCGTGGATTTTGCATACCTTAACCTAGTTGCTCGTTTGCAGAAACGGAAGCAATATCAAAAGATGAAGCACGGAGCGGGGCAGCATTCGGCGCTTCCATCGTTCCTCCAGCTGCGGCCACAGTGTTGTTGACTGTCTCATAGGCTGAGGGAGAGGGCACTGTACGCTGAGCCGGACATTCGAAGTGCACGCAGTGGAACACCTCATTTGCTAAAAAACTACGTATAAAAAATTACGTAAGCCATACTAAAACTTTCCAGTGGCAATCGTTTCTCCAGGATCTTTACTAGCCAAAAATCAATACAGGAAAACTGGATAGGTTGACACGAGAATTCTTGCCATAATTCGGAACAAAAACAGAAATAACGATTCTCGCCTGAATTATGCGTTCCAACCAGACGGATGAATACAACTGGTCGACGATCAAATCTTAGCATCTGCCAGGCCCTGGAAAAACAACGGTACAGTACCGGTGTACTTCTGCTACTTCTATCATTTAGTGCAATGTTACGGGCCAAACTACGTCAGTCTCACTGCAAAAAAATAACTTACTTGAAAATTTAATTGTGTATCATCGGCGTTCGCTGCCGCGCCATCGATGCAGCTGGCAAGTATTCCATTCGCCTCGCCGTTGCGCTCTCCGAGACCAAGTA